GCGTGGGGGTGGGGGGGAAGCTCTCTCTCTGTAGAGAATCTGGAAAACGTAATCACAGGCGAAGCCGCCCGGGTCTCCGCTCCAAATGCCACAATAATGTGCTGTATTATGTGCTCACGTGGTCATACGTCAACTTAAATCCTTTTATTTGAAATAGGGAATCACTGAAGAAACTAGGTTTCCAAGCAGAACATTTGGCTTTGGGGGAGGGGAAGAGTTTTGTCTAGGGCAGTTGGATGCTGGGGGCATCTGTCCCCTCCCCCCAACATGTGCCGCACAAGGCCAGTTATCTCCCCTTATATTTCTTTGCACTGATCCAAACATAAGGAAACAGCAATGCTGTCCCCATTCTTAAGAGTCCAGATAACTTTCCTTAGTCTTCCACACATGGACCTGCTGAACCCCTCACACCCAAGCACTCCAGTCTCCTCTGGCCAATACATCAAAAGGCAAGGCCCAAGCCCTTGCCTTTTTTCCAGAAGAAAACCCAATAATGGTCGGCCTAGTCAGTGGACTCCCTCATGGCCTGCCATTGTATGGAGTGTGCTAACACCCACGCCACACACCAAAGCTACTGTAGAAAACCAAAAGGCCCATAATTAGCTGACAAAAGGCTAAAGCACCTCCTCCAAGTCCAGTTGGTTTTGTTTGGTGGGAGCCGCCCTAGGAAAAAGGTGTTTGGCTTTAGAGGGATAGGTCAGAGTTTTGCAAAATCAGGAAGGACCCAGTGTCTGGGCCAAACCTGCATTTACACTTTTCCTCAGTGCAGAGCTGAATGATAAATGAAATGATCAGCTTCTAATGATGAAAAATGTATGGGGAAATTATCTAATTGTCTCTGCAAGAAGAGGGGAAAAAACTACCTTTGCTAGCATCCCCTGAATTAACTAACCTACTACTGCAAGACAATTTGGGACCCTTTCTGTAGACATGTCTGTTCACCCTCCCCTAAGACAATTCTGTGTCCACCAGCAGAAACTGAATTGGACCAACTTTTCTCAGGAACAACCTGGCTGAAACAAATAAGCACGCTCACACACACACACACACACACACTCCCCTGCCTTCTGCTTGGTGACATTCTCCACTGATTTCAACACTTAACCCTCTCAGGGGCTGTCTTAAAAGTTCCTATTTTCAGGCCTTAGTTTCTGAACTTCAGGAGTGCTCTGAGGTGGAGAGATCCTCCTGCCATATTCTTTTGTTCCTGGAGAGCGGTCTTCAGTTAGCTAGGCCTCTCTAAGCATGAGGCTCACTTGTAGCAGCTGCAGGAGGCTGTGCATGACTCTTCCCCTCCTCCCCTCCTGCCTGCAGGGGAACAGAAGGGGCCTGGTGAGACTGTGAGGCCCTCAGTAAGGGAGCCTGGTCATGGGGGTATCCAAATCAGAATGGCAATGAAAGAGAAGGAGACCTCACCCCTTGGAAGTGAGCCCTGGCCTAAGCTGGTGGCAGTATTCCCATAAGGTCTTGTCTGTGGTACAGCTAGGAGAGAACTTCTATGTCAACTTTCACAGCTCTGACCTAAGCCACAAGCTGGAAAGTAAGACCCCAAAGTGGAAACCTGCTTCTCTCAGGTTTGGGTGTGGGGTGGGGGACAAGACCAAAGGCTGGGGGAGGGACAGGACCAAAAAGCACACCCCAGTCCCCTCAAGGACTCAGTCCAGTGATACACTGTCCTCTACTCCCCTTACCCACGACCTCCAAATATTTTACATTGAGCTCTCCAGATAACCTAGAAAGGACCTGAAAGTATTGCCTAATTGTTGGCAAACTCCACTCCCTCCAACCAAAGTTTCTGTAGAGGCTTCAACTCAAAGATGAGAAGGGGCCTCCTTCAGAACTCTCAGAATAGTCTGGAGCAGATCGAAATTCCCAAGGCCATAAATCAATGGGAGAAGTCTTTGGTAGTGCTTCAGAGAAATGCCTTAACGCCAGCAAGGCCCAGAGGCATCTCAGCTCCAGCCAGGAGCCTCCATGCCATTATTAACAGCCCGGTTAATGCTCCAACTGTGGTTTAACAATTAACATTAATGACTTGGGGTAGGATAAGGTGATTTTGTGGGATATAAAGGAAAATATCTGAAGAAGTCAAAGAAGTTTAACTTTTGAGGTGGAAATGGCTTCCCTAAGAGAGACCTTGGTCTGGGCAAGCCACTAGGGAACCAGCAGCTGAAATCCTTCACCATTCTGAAATCTGCTTTCCTGGAGCCAGGCTATGGGCCTTTTAAACTTTCATTCCAGAGAACAAGAATGAAGGTGCTCAAGGATGCAGGCCCAGGCCGGGAACACAGCTGCCAGTACTACTTCATTCACTCCTCCGATCCCCAGCCTGGCCAGCCAGGGCTGGGGACACATGCCCTGGATCCAGGCCACCAGAGCCAAAGTAGGCAGAACATTGTCTCAGAAGGAGCAGGTGACTCAGGATACAGAGCTTTAGTCAATATTTGCAACGCTGTTGGCAGATTAGATATATCTGTATTCAAACACTGTGATCTGATTTCTCTGTCAAAAATACACTTAACATCTTTCCCCCCTTAGTTAACTCTAGTGGTTTTTCTACTCAGCATCGGGTTAGGCCCTCTTAGCCCACTTTTCTTTTTTTTTTTTTTTTTTTTTTTTGGTGGAGGTTATAGATCATTATTTAACATGAGATATTTCCTGTGGGTGCAACTGCACTACAAATGGGCTCCAAGTTCTCTGGACACACACGAATGTGTATATCACTTTATACACATGGTCTCAAACTCCTGCAACTGTTTATACAGGCAATAGTTCTGTTGTGTGCTGAGATGCAAATCATATGTGCACACTGAGTGGCAAATTCCTGAAATGCTCTGTCTCAACTTGATATAAATAGACATACAGTAGCTGAGAAAGTAACCCAACTTTACTATTACTCTGTTTACTTCCTATCTAATAAAATAAGAATTGTATCCAGAACACCTTATCCGCCTGAGAGCACCTGGGAATAGCATGTTGCAACAAATTAGCAACCTAGTATCTACTTGGAGAGACTATTTTCGCCAAGACTGAGGCCTAGGGAATAGAAAACAAAACCTCAGAAAACTTTTTAAAAGAAGCAATTCCTCAAAGAACAAAGCAAAACCCATTCCTTCATACCAAGCTTCGGAAAGCTGTTCCAGCAGCCCCTCCCCCAAACAGGCACGAAATTTATGGATCTTTTACAAGGCAATAAACCACAGTAATTACCTTCCTGCATCCCAAACTAAGAGGACAAATTAAGCCAGAACTGGAAAAGAATTTTAAAGAGTTTTCCCTTGTTCCAAATAGGAAAAGAAAACGCGGGGACACAGAAAACCCGTGCATTTCCCCCAGGAAGAAGAGCGGGGAAGCCTGGCTGAAGGAACCTGGAGCCC